GGGTGGGGAGTTTACACATAGTTGACCTGCTAGCTTGAGAATGTGTAGATGGAAGTACAGACTAGCATCTCAGCATCTCAAGATCATACATTTGTCATGGCTGACACTGCTTTTATTGTCAAAGATTTGTATATAGCAAATGTATTGTTTAGCTACATGTAGTCTGGTGCATCACAGCAGAACAGAAGTACTGCCAGATACTTATATGCCTGTTTGTTGGTCTTAGCTAGCTATGATTCAACTAAGTTTCTCTTGTCCATGTTTAAGTTTCTAAAATCAGAATTCCTAGTCTGCACTGGGCGACTTCATTGGTAGTCTGTATTGTTTGTACAAAGGCTTATATGATCCTCCAGACCAAATTGCAGTTTTAGTTCTAAAGTGATTCAGTGTCTAATATGATTCCTTAGTAATCTCTGTATCAATTTTATTCTTTAAATGTGCCTTTCATCGTATTTCCCTTTTGTTTTTGTGCAGATATGTTGCAGTTGGCAATGAACCTTTCTTGGAGACATATAACGGCACCTACGTCCAACCAACCTTACCTGCTCTTGTCAACATCCAGTCTGCCCTGATCAAAGCTGGACTTAGCAACCAGGTAAGGGTTACTGTCCCCCTCAATGCTGATGTTTATGCAAGTTCGACAAGCCTTCCATCGGGGGGTGACTTCCGAACTGATATCCATGAACTCATGACTAACATTGTAAAGTTCTTGAGTGAAAATGGTGGCCCCTTCACTGTGAACATCTATCCCTTCATAAGCCTGTATGCTGATGCCAACTTCCCTACTGAATATGCATTCTTTGATGGCAACGCATCACCTCTAAATGATGGTGGGAATATATATTACAACATGTTTGATGCTAATCATGACACTCTTGTGTATGCCTTGCAAAAGATTGGTTACGGGAACTTGCCAATTATAGTTGGAGAGATTGGGTGGCCCACTGATGGAGATCGGAATGCAAACATAGAGTATGCTCGGCGGTTCAACCAAGGATTCATGAATCACATTTCAGGTGGGAAAGGAACGCCAATGAGACCTGGGCCCATTGATGCCTATTTATTCAGTTTGATTGATGAGGATGCTAAGAGCATTGCTCCTGGTAATTTTGAACGCCATTGGGGAATATTTACTTTTGATGGATTACCAAAATATGCTCTCAATCTGGGTACCACAAATTCAGGTGCTTTAGTTCCAGCAAAAGGTGTGCAGTACTTAGAGAAGAAGTGGTGCGTGATGAGCCCTAAAGCCAAACTTGATGATCCACAAGTCGCACCTAGTGTAAGCTATGCCTGCGGACGGGCTGACTGCACCAGCCTAGGTTATGAGACATCTTGTGGAAACTTAGATGCTCTGGGGAATATATCCTATGCATTTAATAGCTACTATCAGAAGAATAATCAGCGAGATGAAGCCTGCAAGTTTCCAAGCCTCTCAATGATCACCAAAAAAGATCCATCAGTTGGTTCTTGCAGGTTTGAGACAATGATCCAGCCTTATTACGCAGGTGCAGAACGGAGATTTGGGTCATTAAGTATAGTTTCATTTTTTATTCTTATCTTGCTAATGGCTCTATGAGTTCTTAGGTTATCTCTATATCATGAGGCATCCTTTTTTCTCCAGCTATTGACATGATGTTTTGACTGCTTGAAGATGGCAAATTTTGCAACATAGAACTGAATCTATGTTTGGTTTTAGTTATGCTGTTAAATTCGGAATGATGTGTATTACTTAATGCCATCCAGTTAGGGTATTGCTGGAGACTTCTGATTATGATGAATCAAACATGTTCTCATGAGCATATTCTATGCATTTACAAGCATTCTAATTTCTCACATATGGTTTACTAGTATTAATACATTGCATTGTTTCCTGATGTATGTATCAGTTCTATATGTATTGAGAAACTTTATTAAGGACATGTTTGAATCTGATATATATGTAGAAGTCTAGAAGATGATCATTCATTCTCTTTCTCGATCCAAGGATTCCGGCGAGGTCTGCGAACGCATCTGAGCGCCTTCCAGACAACACTATTGCACTTAAATCCTGAACCAAAAGCAATTTGCCAAACCCTATCTCCTCTCTTCATCTTTCCCTTGGCCTCCAAGTAAGCCAGTTCATACCACAGGCTGCTGCTAGAAGTGTTCCCGAAGCGCTCCAGAGTCTTCCTGGACGCCTCCATGTACTCCTCCGTGAGTTCCAGGTTGCTCTGTATTTCGTCGAGCACCTTTTTTCCGACTGCCAGAATGCAGATGTGCTCGAAAGCAAGCTTGTAGTCTGGTATGTAAGGCTTGCTGCCGGTGTTTTGCTTAAAGAGCAGGTCAGTGAAGAAATGGACTTGCTCGGAGACGGGGAGGACGAGAGGGCCCAGGGTCGTGATGTTGGCCTTTAGGGCATGGCCGCCGACCTCAATCACGTCTTTGCCAACGGAAAGGCCCTGTATTCCCTCACCGTCTTCCTTGACATGGATGCTTTTGAAGCTTTTGTTGTCCACGCCCATGTGGGTCCTCACCAGCTGCGTTAACTCGTACTTAGATCGCCACCGATCCAGGCGGTTGCAGGAGAGCATGATCGCCGCCGCGCCCATTCGGAAGAAGCAATTGGGAAGAAGCATGTCCATTTCGTTACCGGGGTAAAATGTATAGCCCACGATTTCCGTACTAACCACCAGGGCATACGTCCCCGGATACACGTTCAGGAGGTCTCTAGCCAGATCAATGGCAATGATCCCGGCGGCGCAACCCATTCCTCCGAGGTTGAAGCTCTGAATATTATGCCTCAACTTATAATGGTTTATCACCATTGAAGAGAGTGAAGGCGTCGTGTTCAGGACCCCGCAGTTGACGACCAGGATTCCAATGTTCTTGGGCTGGATTTTGGTGACGGAAAGAAGATCATCCACCGCCCCAAAAATCACCATCGCCGCCTCCTCTCGGCCATCCTTCAAGTTCACTTTATGATCGGGACGGAAAACCAATCTGGGCAAGTAGCTCTCATCTCCGATTCCAGAATTCTTAAGCACCCGCTGCTGAAATTCAATGGCGGCATCGTTGAATTTGCCTGATTTTCTCGCTAACTCAATGAATTCCTCTTTAGAAATCTGCATGCATAACAAGAATGATTCCAATTTTCTTGAAAAATTACCAGAAACTAACAAATATTGAGTTAAATTCCACACCTTGAATTCATCTGGGGGACGAAAACAAGCAAAGTCAATGAGATAAGTAGAACGAGGAGTTAAACCGAGATAAATGTAGAAGATGATTCCTAAGAGCAGAACGATGAACAGAGCATCAACGGAAAGGTGGAACTTAGGATAAAGAGAATCCCAGGTGAGTTTTCCTATATGGGCACTGAAGACAGCAATGAGAAGCGGCGGAAGGGCGAGGTAAAGCCGGTGGCTGAGGAGATACCCATATCCAAGCCTAACGTATTTAAGGTTGACGGAGTTGAGGAAGTCTGGCAAATCGGGACGGACCTTGACGTAGAAGCTGAAAGAACCGGCGTGGGGACCGGATTCCTCGATTCCCCGGTTGACAATTTCTGTAGATAGACGCTCCTGTTCTCTGGCCATTGTGGAATTGCCTGGAAAAGGGGAGGGGACGATGCTGCAGTATTTGTAGGAATAAAAGAATGGAGAGGGGTTTGCGTCGAGGGGACGAGGAGTGGAGGCTGTTCTTCTGCATGATGCGTATCCTCTGCTGGTTTGCAGCAGCAGAGAGCTGTGGTTATGGGGAAGATTACCAAGAAATGCTTTTCACATGCTTTTCAGCACCATGGTTCATCCAACCTAAAGGTTGTTGAGATTGTGTGTTTTGAAAGGTGGGATGGATACACATTCCAATCTTTGTATTTCCTTTATATTTCTTAGTTGTTTTGTTTGGACTATCATAACTTGAATTTATAACATTTTATGTTTAAATTAATGAATCTTATACAAAAATTTATATATAATATTAAACAGTTAATTATTAAATTATATCTATTAAATTTTTTTAATAAAAACGATAAGAGTTTAGTATTTAAATAATAAGAGATCTTGATTTTGAAAACATGATAAAAATACACCTTGAGAATTGAAATATTCCATTTTAAAATGAAAATCGACATTTTAAGTTTCTATCTCGGCATAGAAATTTAGATTTCTTGGAATAGAAGCGAGCAAGTATTGTGATAAGCATACTTTTAGCTTTAGGAGCATGCGTGCTGCACGGTGTCTACAACAATCATCAGCCATGATGAAATGAACAATCATTTCAGCCACCTTCCACTCGTTCATATAAACATAACCCATATCAATGGTACTTTGTATGGAGATGGAGGTTGTGGAGTTGAAGGTGCGCATTCACTGCAAAGCCTGCCAGAAAGCCTTGCGTAAATCCTTGTGCAAGATCAAAGGTATGACATATCACATGCTTTTACATTGCTTTCCGAGAGTGCATGTACATGTATATAGTTCTGAAGTCCAAAGAAATACAGGCGTAAAATGCGTGGAGATAGATGCAGCCGCACAAAAGATCACAGTGCTAGGCTATGTTGAGCACAAAGCCATTGTCAAGGCCATCCACAGGACGGGGAGAAGGGCAGAGCCATGGCCCTCATCTTTGTCCTCAGCTGCTGTTACTCCCAGACTCAATAAAGGCTTTAGGTGCATCCTTCCTTTCTAAAGGCATCAAATAAGCTATTCTGCTTTCTTTTCGATTTGTAAGGTTGAATGCAAGGAAAGAAAGATGAAAGAGGGATTTCCATGGACTCGGTACTTGTCTTTTATAACTAATTTGGAAAATAAATCAAATGCCATACCAGAACTGATACGATCAACCTCAACAATTTTCTCAATACTTCTAACAAAAGATTTGCGAGGAAAAACTGATATAGACGAACATGCGATGCACATCCCATTATACCTGCCCAGAGAAACAACGGGAATAAACAGGCTTAACCTTCTATGGATCCTTGACCATGATTCAACAAAAGCAAATGCAAAGTCTAAGCCTTGAACTGACATCATAATACAGAAAAGAAATGCCAAATCTGATCTGATACGGTGTTGCAAATTAGATGGAAATATTGAAGCATGGTTAAATACTATAAAGACAATCAAATATGAAATATATACAATGCTGTTTCTGAAAAATATAGAAATCTGACTAACTAATCACCATATCATTTGTAGTTTTATCTAAAAATAATGTTTGATTGTGAATGTGTACAACTATTTTTCATAATTTAAACCGCAATGGTGAATGCAACTCTTGTGTCTTGACAATGGGTATTGGCAGATCGCTTCCACATCCAAATTAGGAAATCACAAGCAACTGATGTCATCACGTATGTATCATGTGTATGTATGTTCTTGGAAGAGGCATGCAAGCAACATCAAGTATTGGCCATGGACTCGATTAGAAGCTGATAACCTTCTGGTACTGCTGTCTGCATGTGAACACACTCTGTCAATGCAGGAATATCAGAATTGAGGTCAAGGAACCTGGCCAAAAAGAGCAGCAAATGGAAATCAGAAATTCGCTTCACGAATGGAAGACTCCTTGAGCGGTCTAGGTGACTTTTCAGCGTCTTCATTGTTGCAGAGGTGTTTCGGTTCTCAATAGGAAAGGTTGAGGATAGAGGGCCCTGCAATAGAGACAGGACGAGGAAGTTAGCAACCTACATGGTAAAGAAGCAGATAAAAAGGATTATAGAACTCTTGAAATACATAGAAAATTAGTCAACAAGGCATGCAGTATATTTCCAAAAGTATTCTGGAGGTGCAGTAGACAAGTATGGAAATCAAAATCCTGTTTTCCTATAATTACTTCTGTTATAACATAGTTTCTTAATCTCTTACGTAAATGTTCTCAAGAAGACTTGCAATCAATTAAAGACTCTTATCCCAAGTGGGCTGTTATAAAAAAGGCTGTATAACATACTGAAGAATCATGGAGGAAAACAAGAATCCACCAGCTAAGAGCTCAAAAGAAGCATCAAGTGATGCTACCCATCGGATTGCGCCTCTGTTACAGCTTTGTGACTAGCATGAAGATCAGGCAACTTGCTTAATGCAGCCGAAGTATGTCATATAGCAATTTCTTTCAACATCAAAAGTGAAGTATATCACCATGTACAAGGCAACTATGATACCAGTGAAAGTTGATAGGGCAGAAATTAGAGCAATGCATGGCCAGTACAAAGGCCGAGGAATCCACCAAGTTATCATGGGAGAACCAAGCAAGGGGTACAGACCATGTAAAGTTGACTAATTACACACTTCCTTTCCCTAAAATCTTTCTTCTTAATTAGTATTTAAAATCTTCCTTTCCCTAATTCCCTACAGAACCCAACCACAAGAGCAGTATCAACCTCAATAAGTACTCATTGAAACCGGTCATCAACATCATACAAACAAACAAGCAAGGAAACCTAACTATGATATCCCATCTACTACAACATTACGCGGAGATACAAGGCAGAATTTCACCAAAGCAAGGATCTTTTTACATTACCAATCTATTATTATTTGCTGAAGACAAGAGCAAAGATCGAAAATCTAAAACTAACTTAAAAACCAGCCAAAAAGATAACCACATTGAAGATTGAACACTGAAAAGCAATATTTGAAACATAAATTGAACAAGCAAAGAAATTTAGCAAATAAAACAGAAAGCTCACCTCATGATCCACAATCCTAACCACCACCAAGAAGAAATCATTATCAACCTCTCTCACATCCTTCCCACCAACAACCACGTCCTTCTTCATCTTGGACAGCTTGGGATCATCATTCTTCCCGAACTTCCTCTCAAACCAGCCTTCCTTAAATAACTTAATACAAATATCACTCATCTGAAATGCCTCAAAGTGCACATCAGCACCCCCATCCTCCTCATTCACCTTGAGCTTCACCACAACCGTGACCCACTCCTTCAGGCCGCTCTCAGCATGCAGTTCTGCCGCCTGAATCACCTCCTTGTTGGAAAAGTTATAGTCTTTTTTGTCCTGCATTATCGTTTGGCTGAATATAAACCCCACTCTGCTCATCCCCAACCCTGCCGCAATGGCATCTACCAACTTCTCCTCTTCGGGATCCCTAAGAAGAATCAAGTCATCCTCCATACCCTGCTGTGGTGGCTCATAAATAAAATCCACTTGGACTTTGCCGTCTTCAGAAACTCTGCCGTAGAGGAAGCCTCCACGTTTGGACGAGAATGCAAGCGTGTCATTGACGTAGCTCTGAAAGGCGTTGGCGGAATGGCGGTCGAACGAAGCAGCATCGCAGTGTGGGGATTCCTGACGGGTGATCCTGGTCTGCCTGGCGATAAGGTCGTCCATTGTCATCTTGCGGCCGAATGAGCCGGCGGGGCTGAAGGTTGGGGTGCCGGCGACGGTACGTTCGCCGTGGTAGTAGAGGAAGACGATTGACCCATGTGAGAGGTTAAGGGCGGAGATGGGTGTGGCAGGGTTGGCCATGTCGGTGAAGCGGAGGAGGTCGGCGGGAGTCTTGGCCAAGAGAAGGTTTCGGTCGGTGGAAAGGGTCTGGTTATTGATAGGAATTTTAAACTGGGACTTGATTAAAGACTTCAATTGGGCCACCGTGATGTGGGGATCGTCGATTTTGAGGCGTTCGAGGCCGTCACGGCTGCGGATTCTGAGCATCATCGTCGTCGGAAAGACTGTTAAATTGCAGAGTGAAGTATTCTGATGGGATCGCTTGCTGAGAGGGAGAAGAAGAAAGTATTTATAGATGTGCAGAATTTTCATGCCAGTCCTAAAGATTTCCTACAACTGCTTAACTTACCCACTCCTTTTCAAAGTGGGTCGAACTCTCCAATTATGAATTATTTGATTCACTTCGGTCCTTCCACTTTTCCAAATCGATGAATACACTATAAAAAGATTGTACCTCCTTGATTTTGAAATCAATGTAAGTACAAGTCGTATCCTAATACCCCCCTTTGTTTTTTTCCTTGAAAAAAATAAAAAAATGTTTATTACACAAACCTAAAAAAAAAATTGGTGAAAAAAATTCAAAACAAATTGATTTTAATAAATTTTCATGAAAAAAATTCAAACATTTTAATTTTTAAATTATGAGGTTATTTTAATTTTCAATTTTTTATATTTTATTAAAATAATATAATTTCAAATATTATTTTAAAAATAGTATAGTTATAATACTCCTTTTTTATTTTTAATATATTTAATTTAATTTTTTACTTTTTAAACATAAATTTTAAATAAAAATTTAACATATTATATAAATAATAATCTAAATTTTTTATTAAATTAAAATACTCAATAAAAGCTTTATATAAAGAAATTTTTAATTATTATTTATATATATTGTTAAATTTTAATTTAAAATTATATTTAAATAATTAAAAAATAAAATAAATTTATTAAAAATAAATAAAGAGTGTATTACATATTATTATAAATGTACAACATGATACATTTTATATAATTATCTCTTTTTAATTATAAATTCATTTATAATATTATATATAATATAATATTATATTTATTTAATATTATATTATAATTATAATTTTATAATTTTACACTATATTATAAATATAATATTTATGTTTTTTACAGTGCTGAACTCATGAACTTTAATCTCAAATAAAAATTATACGTAATTTCCTCCTTTTCCATTATTTATTTCTTGAAGGAAATAGAAGTTTACGGAATCCGTTATCCACTCCATCCACCAACTCTTCCTTTCCAGACACAACACGTGTCAATTTCGCTTCAAGCTTGCTGGATTGATGATGGGTTTATGCATTTGTGGGTTTTTGTTGAGTTTTGCCCTTTCTCTGTAGTTTCAATCTGTGCCCTGTTCTTCTCCTGATGAGAAATTTTCTTCAAGATCTTAGTCTGTTGTTTGGATAGTCTGAAAGATGTTTCTTAATGAGCACTTCAATGTTCTTATGCGACAGTTTAATCGTTGTTAAACAGAACCCACCTCAGACTTTGCTCTCTTTGGGAAACTCATCGTGTTTCTTGGTTCCATTTAGTAGCAAAAGGAATAGATTTTCTGGGTTTTTTACGAATGCGGCAAAGCATGATAATTGCAACAACGACCATTCAAAGAAGAGGAAACGAAGCTGGTGGCAAAGGTTCTTTTTTGATGATGATGGTAATTGGTTGGGTCTAAAGGATGATTATGATACGCTAGAGGAAGAGTTGAAGGAAGGCGCGAGGGATAAGCAGTTGTCGGAGGGGGAGAAGTTTGAGGCATGGAAGAGGAGGGCTGAGGCAATCATAGAGCTAAGAGAAGCACAGCAAGATATGAGGAATGAGGAGAGTAGAAGGTGGGAAGATTGGATTGTGGATGGTGATGGTAAATATGCTAGTGATTGGGATGATAGGATTGAGGAACTGAGGAAGGATCCTGTTGAGATGGTTCCTGAAAAGGGGTTTGTTGAGATTGCGAGGGATTTAATTCTTGGGGAGGAAGATGAAGATATTCTGTATGAAGATCGTGTTTTTAGATATGCCTCCATTAATTCGGTATGTGGTTGTGAATGATTTTTTTGTCTTTAGAATGGTTTGAATGTGTGCCAATTTGAAATGCTCCAGTCATCCTTTAATTTCTGTTGGATTTGGACTTGGTACCTAATTCTAAATTTCAACTTATTTTGTATGGTATATGACGAATGGTCTAAGGAGTTTAATACTTTCTGTGACAGGCTAAATTTTTGGCAGCATTGATAATAATTCCTTTGGTCTTGGATTATGTGGTTCATGACTATGTTCTTATGCCATTTTTGGACAGGTAATCATTATGACTAATGGTTCATTTTACCTATTCATGTACCTGTAAAAATAGTGTTAGAAGCGTTATTCTTTCATCTGTGCTTGCTTTGTGCTCTGAACAATACTAGGAGCGTTATTCTTTCTTCTCTTTGCCATGCCAATGTGATGTGAAGACAGTTATTGAGTGCTATGTCTTTTTGATAGATATGTGAAGACAGTGCCACTTGCAGCAGAGTTGCTAGATGTCAGGAGAAGTCAAAAGCTAGAAATGGTTAAACAATTGAAAGTTGAGAAAGCAAGATTCATGCTTGAGGTAGAGATTGGTCAAGCTCCACCTCTTTCTGATGAGGAACTTTGGTGGGAGTTACGGCATAAAGCGTAAGATAAAGCTTTCTTAAACCCACCCTTCCTTTCAATTCACCTTTTCTATCACATTATTTTCCTTTTCTATTGACTTGTTAATCATTCAATTCAAAAACATTACTTCTACTCGAAGAAAGTTAATAAATTATGGTGCAGGGCAAAGTTTAATATCCTTGAAAGTTTGACTGCTTAGAACTTTTAAACTCAAACCTGTTTTAAGAGCTCTTCTCCATTAGGAATGGAACCAGTTTTGCTTGTAAGAGAAGGTATCATAGATGATAATAGCATAATCATAATTGCTTATAGCTGATTTTTTTACCCTATATGGTGTATGACATAATGAATAGATTCCTTTTCATGAATGGATGTAAATTGTCAACAAGTAAAATTGCTTCATGATGTCTGTTTTCTTATAACGTTCAAAAAATTATTTACAAAAATGATGCTCTGAATCTTGAATGTTATTGCAAAAGATTAGGGTTCCCCCTAGAGCTGGATATGTATTTAATTCCATATTTT